TAAAGCAGACATCAACCCTAGCTTTATGTAGCTGATACACCTTTAATACTTGTTAATAATCTAACTAAAATCATCTAAGGACATAAAAAGTAATCATGGGAAGTATCAACAACCTGAGTGCACTAATAAGGTTTAATGTCCCTGGTCAGGCTCCTCTGGTGCCTCCACACACATGGGTTCAGAGCCTTATTTAAGACCACAATTGAGGCTTCAGTCCTGCCTGAGCTCTGCTGGAGGGGTGCTGGTTTCCAGCTCAGCCACAGCTGTGTCTGTCTAGGAAGCCCTTTGATCCAGACCTCACTTCACAGACTGACTTCCTTTCTTGGCCCTGCCTTCTCAGCTGTGGACCTGCAGCATGATCCATGGATCTGATCCTGATCTACAGATTGTCTTCCTGGCTCAGCCTCAGACCTGCCTTGTCATCCACCTGTTGCCTTACCTGTACTCCTGGTTGGACCTGGCCACCATACCAGCATCAATCCTGCTTGCCTTGCTTAGACACTGTGGGACTGGGCCCTGGGAAACAAAGCCCCTACCATGCAGTGGGATGCACCCTGGTGCTCTTCTCACCTTCCCTGAGGGAGCAGCCATGCCCTTGCTGCTGTCTGACAAGAAGGGAATGAGGTGGGACTAGACTGTTCTTGACACATGAATTTTATGTAATTACTCGCCAGATTGTCTATCTCAGAAAATCTCAGTATGCAGAGTGAAGAAAGGCATCACTCTGGTTTTCAGTAATTCTGCAAGAGAATCTCTAACACAGCTTGAGGACTGTGGATAATTCACCGGTTATCATAGAAATATGCAGGCTAGTGGAAGGAGCAGGGCTCGAAATGGTCCAATTTTCACACTTGACCTGGCAATCCACTGCGTGTGACACTATTCTATCGAATGGCAACATATGTTTATGCAAAATTTGCTCTAAAATATGGCAAAATGTACAGAAAAGGAAGTGAAAAGTCTAAGTTAGTCTTGGCAGAAACAAGTGCTATATAGTGACTGCATTTAGCCATAAGGAGGGAAAGGAAGGGAGCTGGCATAAGTGAGGAAAATCCAAGCGTGCTTTGTTTCTAAGAGCCATACAATGTCCATATGCTCTGTTTGAGCTTGAAGAGATACTTGCTGAAATCAGAGTGCTGCCAAGATGAGATCTCCAGTGCACTCAAAATGGGGCACTTACAAAGAAAATAGGGAAACTGACAAAAGCGAATTGCAGAAACCAGTCTAATAAGCAAAAGAAAAAGAAATCCCAGTGTATGGAAATCAGATGTGACAGAGGAATGTATCTTGGGAGCTCTTTGAAGCTGCAAGCCGGTAGACAGATCACTTTTTACTGTTGGTCTACATTGGTTCACACACAACTGCCCAACGCTGAAAATAAAGGGGTCCCATTTCTTGGGCAGGTACATTCAAAAACTGAAGTTTGCTGAGAGATTTTTCCCTGCGAGAAGATCAATATTGCCACTTCAGCCTTGAAGACCTGACAGGTCTAATTGCAGGTCCTTTGAAATACTATTCAGCCCAAGTAAAGGCACTCTATTGTACCCTGTGTAACAAAAACTTAACTCTCTGCTGCCTCTGGACATCAACCCAGAATGACAAACTTCCTGTAGGGCACCACCCTGATGCCCTTTTGGGTATGTCCTCACAATCCTTGATTAGTGTCAAGTGGCAAATAAGACAAATATAAAATCTTATAAAGTGCCAAATCATAGCCTCAGAATAAAAGCTTTTGGAGACTTCAGTGATGCTCCACAAACACAACTTAACTCGTCTGGTAATAAGCATTTCTATCTCCCAGCTCATACAGTTAGGACAGAAAGTTACTGAATACAGGTTTTAACATTGCAAACTCAGTAAAGGCAATAAAAAAGTGGGAAACGGAATTCCAGTCTTTCACAAAGCAGGGCAAGACAAAGTGCAGTAGGAAACCTCCCACCTGAGAATTGCAAAACAGCAGGACTGGAGCACCTCCCGTATGAAGATAGGCTGAGAAAGTTGGGGCTGTTCAGCCTGGAGAAGAGAAGGCTGCGTGGAGACCTCATAAGCAACCTTCCAGTATCTGAAGGGGGCCTATAGGGATGCTGGGGAGGGACTCTTCATTAGGGGCTGTAATGACAGGACAAGGGGTAACGGGTTAAAACTTAAACGGGGGAAATTTAGGTTGGATATAAGGAGGAAATTCTTTCCTGTAAGGGTGGTGAGGCACTGGAATGGGTTGCCCAGGGAGGTTGTGAATGCTCCATCCCTGCCACTGTTCAAGACCAGGTTGGACAAAGCCTTGGGTGAGATGGTTTAGTGTGAGGTGTCCCTGCCCATGGCAGGGGTTTGGAACTAGATGATCTTAAGGTCCTTTCCAGCCCTAACGATTCTATGATTCTATGAAATAGGTTGATATGTGCATACATCAGGATACTAGGCAAGTTATTTATATCTGATGAGTCCAGGAAGTATCTGTTAAGAAAGGATGGACAAGTAGATGTCTCAGGCTGCTTCCAACTCATCTAGTCAATCTACATCATATGCAGATTACCTAAATTGCTCCTGGTATGTCTGCATCACCCAGTCGGCACAGTCTCCATTAGAGATTTGTTCATTAGCTCTGGGAAGGCTTGTAAGCCAATACAGTACAGAGTGAAATACTAGCTTAGGTCATGGAAGCAATACAGATGTCTTATTTAGTTTATGCTCATTTGTTTGCTTGTCTCTACCTTCATGAAGCAGCTTCCTCCCTTAATATCTTTTCAAAATAACTTCCTCTCCCTAAAACAAAACACAAAGTCCACATGAAACACTTACAGGTAATAAATTAATGTACTTTACAGGTTGATGAAGTAACATAGCCCTGTTAAGGGAATGGGATCATCCCTGAACTGCTGTTGAAGAATTGGAACTTCATTAACTATAAGGTTGTCATACATTCTTAAGGTTTGAAGCAAATGCTTTATAAAACTACTCAGGATTTTGGTTATATAAATATACTAGTAGTTATTTATATTTATTCTGGTCTATATGAATAGTGGAAGCTATGGCTATGTATTTACTGTCAGAGAACTTGTAAAAATCTACGTATATTATTTTACTTAGCCTATTTCTGCATTCAATTCAAAAACATTTGGAATTATAGCAAAAGCAAAAAAACATAGTGGGAGGAAGCCATGCTGGAAACCGAAAGGGGTGGCAAAACTAGGCACCCCAAAAGCAATCTAATGCACTGCACTGAACGTCTATGCTTGTTTTAGGATGAGTAATGTGGCAAACACTACCTGCAAACTCAAAATTAGTATCAAATCCCACCCACATCTGCACCACGAAGCCTGACAGGGAAAAGAAATTTTTGACTGAGTATTCTAGCTGGCTAAAACAGAAATCACAGGCACAGAATGAAATGTTCCACCTGAGATGAGACATGGGACCCTTCACATGTCCTAATCCCCTGTGATTTAAATTGTGTGGTCTGATTTATTCCATTTAGTGCCTTTATCAATTAGAAAAAATAATACATTTAACAATGCAAGCATTTTACAGTCTCACAAGGCTCTGCCACACCTTCACTTCACTGTTGAGGAATGGTACAAGTTCCCATATCATTGTTTGTTTCTGGGCATGGCACTGCATTTTCAGTTACACTGAATGGGAAATCCCTGATAGCGAGATGATGCCCTTGAATTTCTCTTGTTCACTAGTTTGCTCTTGAGGCAAAAGGTACTGGAACTTCCCACAGTCACTCAGCATCATGCACACAGGTAGTGCAATGCAATAACAGTCAGTCACATCTGCATCTACAGTGTGGCTACGCTCAGTCTTGGTTTTCTGAAAAGTTGGGTCAGGCAAAAGAGGTGTACAAGACTGCACTGCAGAAAGCAAAAGGAAAACCTAGAACTTACAGAATCTTACACAATGGAGCAAAAAAACCCAGAAGCTATAAAAAAATAGATAATAACAGTAATCAAAAAACTTTCATGGCTATGATTTTGCACCACTGAAAATACCATGCAGAGTGATGTTCCTGATGCACGTTTCTTTCTTGAGCAGAGGAATTTGGTATGGCTTTTTAGTCTTCTTGGATTATTTGTTACTTTCAGATACTCACAGCCCCCAGTGGAAACAGCTCCTCCTTTTCCAGAGAAGCAGGTTTTGATCTGCAGTTAACCAACCTCTCTGAGAGCTTTCAGTTGGAAAGTGAAATAAGTATTAATGACCCGATCAGTTTGTGCATCTGGCCTTAGTTTTCTGTTGTGGTTGGGGTGGTTTTTCTTTTGTTTTTTTTTTGGTGGTGGGTTGGTTGGTTTTGGTTGGTTGTTTTTTTGGGGGGTGGGGGGGAGGGGTTGTTTTGTTTTGTTTTGTTTTTCTTTCTGCTCTGTTCCTAGTTAGAGATTGTTGACAAATTAACTCTGCAGTTTCTTTCTCCCCCCATTTCTATAAAAAAGTCTCATGCTGTCCTGTCGTCCTCTCGTGAGGCTGGAATATGATCTGATTTCCAAGTGCCTCTCTGCTCTCCCTTCCTTCTACTCTACATTCAAATCATGTAGGAATAAAAGCAGCCTATCTGTTAATCCTAACCACAATGCAAAACCTGTATGGGACAGACTGAAAGAGGATGTGTCTGTCCTGCGCCAGAGATACCACCTTGCAGGGAGAAGTATGTGATAAAGTATCTGTACTTTAAAACATGGGTGCCATAAATACCTCTGCTGAGGTGTTCACTATGTAGTTCTGTTAAATCATGGAGCCAGATTCAAATTCATTTCTGCTTCACCCTAGGATTTCCTTTTTTGCCGACTGGCACATGTACCCAATAAGTAACGCATGCGAGAAGCGAGACCTCAGGGTCTACAGCAGCGGGTGTCGTGTTCAGAGGAGGCACTGAGATGCACACACTTATGAAGTGAAGTGGTGTACAACTCACTACCACTCAGCAGAGGTAGAATTTAATTTCATTAAAAGCAGGGAGAGCAAGCCTTGTATTTGCACGGCTGGCAGCAGCCCTGCGTGCTTACCTCAGACCACCATTTGCCTCTTCATCGGAGGAGAAGGTGCTGTTGCAGATGCTGCCAAAGGAGTGGCTGGGCTTCAGTTTGGCTTCTTCGCAGTCTGGCACAGGCTCTCTTTTCTTCCTCTTGCCAAAGAGCTTCTTGAAAGGCTGGAATTTGCCTGCTTTTTTCTTGTCTGCGGATTACAAGACAGGCGCAGGGCTGAGGGACGCAGCTCGCGAGCAAGAACCGTGGCAGCAGGTTCAAAGGAAGAATGAGGTCAAAGAGCAAGTCACCAGCCCAAAGCAGCCTGGCGCTTGCAATGTAAATGCAGGGCTGCAGCTTGCTGTTGACGCATCAGACTGACAAAGCAAAGGTAGGAGCACCAAAACATCGGCTCTTGGTTTTAAGGATCTGCTTGGAGGTATCAAAGCAGCTGAACATTTGGATGAAGAGAGAAGATAATTTTGCAGGGTCATAAAATTACACTGAGGCTCATTTTTAGGTTTTACACCACACTTCTGACCTTTTCTCCTAAATACAAGCACTGCTTTGATCACCTCGCTTTGGCAGGTACTGGATGCTCTGCTTTGAATTAAAAGCCACTGAAAATAGCCAGCTGTATTTTACTGACGTAGCCTCATAACTAGACAAGTCAATTTACAAATGAATAAGAAGAACAGTATAAAATTCTGTTGGTCAATGAGTTACTTTAATAAACATCCAGCTTTATATCAGCAAGTCAATACATTTTTCTGACTGCTTTTCCCCAAGTAACTGAGGACAGAATTTGATCCCGCATTTCTTCCCTGAGACACTTACATTTTAAAAACTCCACCAAAAGAAGCACAGCAAAAGACAAAATGACATGAAGACAGGAACAAGAAATGGAAAAGTTAACCAGAATAAAACAAAACAAAACTTCTTTTTCCCCCACCAAAGACTGAAGAAAATAAAGGCAGCTTCAAAGTACTTTCCCCACATCCACACATCCATTGAAAAGAAATACCAAGAGTTTCTTGTGAAGCACTGCCAAGAAAGGGTTAATTTCTTGGGCCTGGGATGCACCAAAGATTTTCTAAACATCATAACTAAAAGAGCTTCATTTTTTTTTTTCTGACTTTACTTAATTTTGCATTGAATCTACTTAAAACAAGCTATTTTGTTGAGTAGTTGTGGGGTTTTTTTAAACCAACTTTTAGCCTCCTGTCATAATCCAGTTTGAGAAGCATCGTGTTATACTGGTGACAAATATTTTCATAAGGTCTTTAAATCCCTACAGTGCTTTTCCCCCAGGCTGCATGCATGCACACTGCCTCATCATGCTCTACTCTCCATATAAGCTGTTGCTTAGCAGAAAGCAGTGGTTTGGTTGCAAAATACAGAGGCTCCCTCAGGAACACTTGACCAGGAAACATAAAACATCTTCTGTAGGGCAATAGTACTCTTCAACACCACATCAGGTTTTTCATTCCACTCTGCTATACCCATGTACAGCAAAGCCACGTCTAGGCAACACCCCTTTGTGGTTGCTGGAGGCATAACTACAAGGTATTCAGAGAGAGAAAATGTGCCCAAACGTATCTGGCTACTTCCAGTGACAAGTGGTTCCCAAACTAGTGCCAGCGAGCCCAAGTTGAACCAGGTGTGGGATCCAACTTACACAAAAAGCAAAAAAGCCACTCTGTTAATCTATCTGTACCCAATTATGGATGAAGTAGGAAATCTAGATTGAAATATAATCACAGAAGCAGCAGATAATGATTCTGCATTTCCTCTGCAGATCAACAAGAAGTTTACACAGATACCATTCTTCTCATTAAGCAGTCAAGATAGAGCATTTGTACAACTTCATTAAGACAACAAGGCATCCCAGTAGCAACATAAATAAGAAGTTGAATTATGAACCTCAGATTCATGCCCAGCATTAGAATTTTTCCATCCAGAATCGCTGACCCACAGTGAGCAGATGAGAAAAACAACTGAAGCAGCAGTTTACCAGTGTAGAAGAGAAAGAGGTTCAGAGGTTTATTCTCCCTGTCCCCTAGCTCTGCTTTCCATAAGCTGACCAACTGACATCTCCAGCCAGGCCAACTGCTTGATCTTCAATTCTGACTTTAGAGAAACATATTCTTACACAAAACCCCTAACAGACAGGCAGGCAGTCATGCAGAGAAAGAAATAAATTATTGCTCTAGGCCACAGCTACTCCAACCCTTCACATGCCTCAGAGACTGCCAGCAAAAACTCATAAATCAAATGGTAGCATATACAGAGGAGACAGCATCAGTACCAGACACAAGACTCAGTGAAAGAGCTGGTTTTCCACAGTTCCCACCTTGCCTGCTTCCTCAGCCTCCTTTGAAAGGGAAGGCTGTGTGATGCTTTTCTGTTGGCTAATGTAATTCACTGCATATATCAATTCAACTACAGCATTTTTAAAGGAGGTTTTTCCTGTGTCATTCATCCACATTACCCTTGTCCCCTCCTCTTTTGGAGGTTTTCAGATATAACTGTGAATTACCTCATCAACTCTAAATCTACTGTACTGATTCACCAGCTATGCATCTAGGTGTTGAACACATGAGACAGGTCAACACAGCTTTCCTTTCATCAAAATGGGTGAAAGCCAACACGGTTGTCTCCAGCCAAGATTTGTTTTTCTCCATGTGATTTAACATGTCCCTTAGCTGTTTCCCCACTCCATACCCCATCATCACAGTTGTCACATTACTAAGTGTGAATTCTTTAAATTAGGCTTCATGACTCATTGCAAAACCAACAAACACCCTTCTCTGCACAGGCTGCACACACTATTTCCCATCCTGCCAGAGCAGAGATAAGGAGCAGCCTTCCCTTCCAGGTTTCTAAGGAGGCAATGAATGACCGCTAAGACAAAGTCTATTTATGTAAATTTTTCACAAGGTATTATGGAGGAAGGTGTGGGATGCTATCACCTACAGGGTAAAATGCTTTCTGTAACAGTAAAACAAGTACAAAAAGGAAACTAAATGTTGGCAATGCAACAGACAATGCCCTGCACAAAAGCCTTTTCAGTCTCTAATGTGAGAGCTCAAACATGACTCATCCTTCCTGTCTATCTGAAAGAAAAAACTGGGATAGGAAAGGCTGAAGATTGGGACATCCTATGCTGTTGACTTGTGTCAAGGACAATTGCTGAGATAGCCAGGAAACAAGTCTGCTTACATGGGCCATTTGGTTTTCTCCTTAATCACTGGAATGGGAATGCTGCAGACCCAGCCCCAGGAGAACAGGGGAAATCAGCAATTAGATCTTTTTTCCTGTCTGTTTGACAAGCCTATCTTGTTCACATCACAGTAAACAGTTAACAGCAAATCAGTTTTAAATCACAAAAAACACGAGGTGTGAAGGCGACAGATAAACAAGGTTGGATAGTTAGCTAGAATAACACAGCACATATGGTAAATGCTCCCTTCTCAGCTTATTCCAGAAAAGCAGTAGAGCATATTAGAATAATCTTTAACCTGTCATATAATTTGTCAGCTGCATGAAGACATGAAGTGCCTGACACAGAGCCAGTTATACTGGAAAGCATTGGCATCATGGAGGCTGCACATGGTCCCTCCACTCCCAATGACAGTGGACTGATAGGAGCACCTACCCCTCTATCACACTCTATTTCACCCTAGGGTGCTCTCCAAGCAAGATGAAGGCAGGTGCAATGGGTTTTATTGCTGGCAAATCAGGCACAGCCTCCGGCAAAGTCTTAGCAACACACCAACCGACAAGCCCCCATCAGATAGCTTGTAGTTAAACTGCTAAAATGTCACCCAAATTCACTGGGACTCCTAGGGTCCTCAGCACAAGTACAGGTCAAATACAGCTTTATCTACTCTCTGGCAGAGGGAGGAGATTTAAATGATTGTAAAGAGCAAGCCGTGTATCCCAAACAAGCACAATGCAAAGGTGAGGCTGCACCACTGGATGGGGCAGAGGAGATGTCAATACTACTGGAATCACCTGAAAAAGTAATTTTCAAGCCAAGCAAGCTTCACGTAAAAATAAAGTCTCACATAGTCATAGAAGACACAACTAAATCTGTAACAAGGTGGTGGTTCCTTGCAGCTTTACCTCTTGGCTGCAGTGCTGGGGGCACTCACAGTAGGATGGGTGAGAAAACCTGCAGGAAGACGTCTCTCCAAATAAATGCACCAGCTGGTGAGTAGAAGGGTTATTGTTAAGGGGAAAAAAAAACAAAAGCAGGATTTATAGTGGCTTTTAAATGTTGAAGTTATTACAGCCAAGATTTTTCAGACCTCAGGATTGCAATGGGATTTGCAGAGATTTCACAGACATTTGTTCATTATGCAAAATGCAGCATTTGTCTGCAATACCTGTCTGTAGTATGAGATATTGCACAGAAGCTGTCTCCAAAATAATGTGCTCCTTGTTAGTGAATATAATGGCCATAAAATATGGTGTAATAGGCTAACTTAATGAGAATACGAATTGTTAAAATGAATAGGAGTTTCTATAAAGAATTTAGAGAATGGAAATCCACACGTATGCACATTAAAATCTGCATGGCAGGGAGAGGGCAGGTGAGTTACTGGGCTGTGGGCACAGTACAGCAGCCAAAGCAAAAAGGGAACTGAAGACTGACAACTCTAATCACATCTCTAAAGCAGAAAAAGGCTGTTATGCTCTATATTGCTAGTATCAGTAATAAAAAATTCCACCTTGATTTTAAGCTAATGGTATGCATATTCATGCTCTTTTTAAAATAACTCAGGACAGCCACTACAACAAGGGCCCTGTTGAGCCCTGGGTTGGCCACGTATCTACACAAAGTTCTTCATTTTCAGCTCCCCACTGAAAAAGCCTCCCTGCCTCCCCCCTGCCCACTCTGTTGTCAAGGGCACCAAGCTTCCCCGTGCAAAACAGCATTGGCACTTGCCTCCAGCTTTCCCACCCACTCCACATCTCAGTGCATCCATTTCTGTGAGTCCCCAGAGCTGCTTGTTATCGCCGGTACACTTGCATTAAGAGCTGGAAGCAGTGCTCCCCAGAGAGGTGTCTCCACTCCTCCAGGAAACACAAACAAATTGGGATCAATGAGGAGGAGGGCAGGCTGTGCTCTGCTTAGCAATGTTCCCATGGTTTAAAATAGGCGTGAGCTCCTGTACCTATCGGAGCTCATTAGATTTCATAGGG